TTTGAATTGACAGATCACTACAAATCTGTCACTCTTTGGATTTAGATGGTAACTCATTGGTGTGTTAATGGTTTTTTTTTTTTTTTTTTTTGCTTTAACCTGCAGAGAACTCTTAATATTTTGCCTAGTTAATAAACCTTTCGATAGTTTATCACAGGATTGGCTACAGATGTTGTCTTTGGTGTAGGATCTAGGTTACCAGTTGATCTCAGGTAAATGATTGGTCTCTTGGGACAGGAAGCAACCTAAATGTGATGTGATTTTTGGTGTAAGTGACCATTACCACTAATTCCAGCTTGTCTGGCTGGCAAGATAGACTGAAGAACCTAAGGGGACTGTCTGTGACTCCATGATAAGGCTGGTATAGTGATCTAGGAGTCCACATTTGTTACTGGCTTGGTGCAATCTAATTCTAAAAGCAACCACCAGTTATGGTGTGTAGTGAGGCGGAGTGGCCTCCCACTGAGCCAAAGCGGGAGGGACCAGGCTCTGAGCCCAGATGGGCGGAGCCAGGCTGTGACTGACCCTCCCATCGGAAGTTAGGAGGCGGGACAGGAAGTATAAAGGGCGGGTCCTGGAGCTCAGTTGATCTGCAGCTCCCAGAGGAGACAGACGCCTTCTGCCCACTCCCGAGCCTGGAGACTGAAGGGAGCCTCGCTGAGCTGGGGACTGGCCAGAGCTGCTGGAGCCGCCAGCCGACATAGACACTGAGAAGTGGCTGTGACCGCGGCTGGCTCCCTCCCCCGAGGAGACAGAGGTCACCCAGGGACACCCCGAAGGGAGGGGAGGACGTGGCTCAGGGATAGCGACTCCAGTCTGGCTGCATTGCTGTGTGAACGCAGTCAGCGTCTTGCGGCTGGATTCCCTGCTGACCCAGTGGCAGTGCACTGCACCACCGTTAGGGCCTAGGCTGGGAGATGGTGGAGTCAGGTGGGCCCCGGTTCCTCTATGCCCTGCTGACAACCCCACCCCTGAGGGGGCAGCCTCCCACCAAGGCCAGGAGGCCTGTGCTAGCCTCCCGTCCGCCAGAGCCAGGATGTTAAACTATCCACTGCTCTGCCCTGCCCAAGTCCTGAGCCTCCCAGACTGTTCCATGCTCTGCTCTGCAGCAGGGCCTGAGCCCTGAACCTTCACTGCCCTGTCCATGGCCTGAGCCTCCCAGACAGTTTGATGCTGAGCCCCTGCCCAAGGGCCTCCTGAGCCTTTGCTACTTATATCCTGCCTGCCCTGAACGTTGGACCTGCTGAAGGCTTTGAGCCCAGCACTGTGAGCTTCCCCACAGAAGTGCCTAGTGGTTGCGCAGTCTTTGCTGGGGGGATGGGATCCCTAAGCCCACCACAGAGTAGCTGAGATGCAGGGAGA